ACAGTAAAACTCCTAGAACCAGTTCCTGTTTCTGCAACAAGGTGTTCCTTTAGAGCCAATGATAACACACACAACCTACAATTCATGCAGGGCACATTCTGAAGTTCTTAAAGAAGAAACCTGAAGATACCTTCTGTGTTGTGGGGATAACAATGATTGACCTTTACCCAAGAGACTTCTGGAATTTTATCTTTGGACAGGTCTCTTTGACAGATGGTGTGGGGATATTCAGTTCCAGGTATGGCAGTGATTTTTATAGTTTTTGCCATGAATGCAAAGTGAAGAACCTCCAGAAAAGTTCAAGCAACTATTCCGTTTTTGATAACTATTATATTCCCAAAATAACTAGTGTTTTGCTGCTTCGATCTTGTAAGACTTTAACCCACGAGATTGGACACATATTTGGACTGCGACACTGCCAGTGGCTCACGTGCCTAATGCAAGGTTCCAACCACTTGAAGAAGCTGACTGGTGCCTTCTAGACTTTTGCCCTGTTTATGCAAGTTGTAGTCAGCTATTGGCTTCAGCACTGAAGAAAGATATAAAGCACTACTGAGATGGATCAATGATGAATCTGCTGACATCCCTGAAGTAACTTGGAAACGCAGTCGGGAAGGTAGTGGGAATTTACTAAAACCTGTTGAAGCTTTCAAGGAATGGAAAGAGTGGATAATGAAATGCTGTGCTGTTCTTCAAAAATAAGGACCTTCAATTAGTAATTGAAATAAACTTGCACATTCTGCTTTCAAAAAAAACAAAACAAAACAATCTGGACAAATTTTTGAGACAGAGTCTCATTATGTCGCCCTTGGTAGATTACTTTTTGTTGCAGTTGTCATTGTTGGTTAGCTGGCCCTGCTGGGTTCAAACCCACCAACTTTGGTGTTCAGGGGTCTTCAAACTTTTTGAACAGGGGGCCAGTTGACTGCCCCTCAGACCATTGGAGAGCTGGACTGCAGGCCCTGGGACAAGTTGGCTGCTAAGCAGGACAAGCAGCGGTGGCAAAAATACCCGGCGGGTGGATAAATGTTCTAGGCAGGCCGCATGTGGCCCGTGGGCCGGGGTTTGAGGACACCTGATGTAGCTGATGCTGTAACCACTGTGCCACGGGCGCCAAGCCAAAATCCCAGATTTTAAAACTCAATATAGGTGGTGGCTCATGCATGTGATACTAGCACTCTGGGGCTTGATATCAAAGCTCAGTGGTTAGGGCACCGGCCACATACACTGGGGCTGGTGGGTTTGAACCCGACCTGGGCCTGCTAAACAACAATAACAACTACAACAACAACAAAAAATTGCCAGGTGTGGGTAGCGCCTGTGGCTCCGTGGGTAGGGTGCCAGTTCCATATTCCCAGGGTGGTGGATTCAAACCCAACCTTGGCCAAACTGCAACAAAAAAATAGCTGGGCGTTGTGGCAGGCACCTGTAGTCCCAGTTACT